TTAAGAGTAGGAGTCCATCGATCATGTATTTTTAATCTTTTAAAGCTCTCTCTCAAAAGCCCTCTTATTTCTTTTCATCTTTTTGCTTCAAGAAATATTTATAAGAGAAAAGAAAATTTAATAACAACATTTTTTGAAAAACAGTTTTAATCTTTAATCTGTTTTTTAAATCTGTTTTTTATATTTTCTGTACTTATAATTGCATTTCTCTCTGTCTATATAGATTTTGTTATCTGTTGTAGGTTAGAGCTTTTTAATTGAACAACTTTTGTGTAATAGCTTAGGTAAAAAGCTATGGTGTAATAGGTTATCAAGCAAAACATTCTCCTTGTGTGAGATTCTAATATCTTGATTTGAGTTCTTTAGGTCAAAAAGCTATGGTGTTAATGAGGTTGATCAAGCAAACAGTGTCTCGGCTGTGTGAGATTCCTAATATCTTGATTTGAGTTTTTGGTTCTCTGCAAGAAATAGAGAAGGGTTGGAGGTGAACTATGAACATTTGAAAAAGAATCTAAGTGGGACAGAGGGTTAAGATTCTCCTAGAACATTTGAAAAATCTAGTGGGACAAGGGTTAAATCTAGGTGTTAATCTATTTTCTTGTAATGTTGGTTTGTCTCTTACCCTTGAAAAGAGATAATATAGTGAAGGATCTCAAGATAAGTCTTGAGGAGTGGATCTAGGCGAGTTAGTGCCGAACCACTATAAATCCCTATGTTTATCTTCTTTTATTTTCTGAAGTTCTACTTGATTATATTTTATTTACACAACTATTAATCTTTTTAGAAATACATTGTTAATGAATTTCTATTTCTAAACATGAATAAGTTTTATCTTTGTGGAACATTAGAACTCTAGATTTCCGTATTGTGATTACTCCAGGTTCTTATCTGTCCTTCTATATTCGGTGTATTCACTATATGAATTATAATCAGTTTTTTAATCTTGCTTAAAGTTTTGTGAGACAGTTCTAAAATGCAATAACTGTTTTTCAGAATCTTTTTAAGTAGCAATCAACTTTTTGAAGCAGTTCTAAACGCAATAATTGTTCTTCACAGAATCTTTCTAAACTTGCTTGAGCTTTGTGAAGCTGTTCTAAATACAATAGATGTTCTTCAAAGAAACATTCTATTTTTGCAACAAGCTTTGTGAGGTAGTTCTAATCTTGATAACTAACTCTCACAAACGCTTTCTAATTCCGCTGCAACAGAATTCTGATTTTATTTTTGAAAGTTAAATTTTTAGAAAACCTAATTCACCCGGTTTAAGATTTTTTAGAAAAAAGAAAACCCTTTAATTTCAAAAAACCCCCACCGCGCTCCCTCTTGGGTTGGTGCATATATAGTATGAGACGCCCATCCATCTAATAGTTTTAAATTTGGAATTTATACCCAAATATGAAGTTTCTAATTCCGCTGCAACAGAATTCTGATTTTATTTTTGAAAGTTAAATTTTTAGAAAACCTAATTCACCCCTCCTCTTGGGTTGTGCCATATATATATGAGACCCACATCATCTAATAGTTTTAAATTTGGAATTTATACCAAAAATGAGGAACTAGGTCTTAGAGCGTACCAATCGAAAATCAGACCACGATTCCACGATCCGCGCGAGGAGGAGATGATTATGCCTCTTGGGGCCTCGTCGGTCGATTGCCGCACCACCACCGTCACCGCCGTCTATGGTGTCCGAAAAACCATGGCTGCTCGGAATCAAGCGCTCTTCACACCATCTGGCTCGATTTCTATCAAGAGTCTATTTTTGGCATTAGTTGCATGAGATCGGCCTTCTATTCGACCGGAGTGGACTAGATAAGAGCCAAGTGCCATCGTTAACGTTGCCATTGATCGCCGAAAAGAGATTGTAGCTCGCAACGTTACAGCTCTCGCCGGAATCAAAAGCGGGCAGAGGACTCAACGTTGAGCAGCGGTTAGAGGCTGGTGGTGTTGCTGCGATTCACTCAAACGAAAACAGAGGGGAGAGAGGAGCTGAGGTGCGACGACAGAGAGAAGGCGGCTTAAAGAACTCTGTCACACTCATCTCTGGTGACCAGAAAAACAAGAGAAAGAGGGATAAGAGGAGGTCGGCCACATGTCTGTCACTGAACCCAGAAAGAAGAAAGAAAGAAAGAAAGAAAGAAGAAGAAGAAGAAGAAGAAAGAAGAATCTAGGCTTCTAGACTATTCCAATTCGATTCGAACTGATTTGGTCCAACTCAGTGATTTGGCTCGATTTTTACTTAGTTTACGTGTTTTTCACTTGGTTTTCAAAAAATTCAAACTGGTTTATAAGTTTGGTTTAGCAATAATAAAATATTTTATACTGAATTTCATTGGTTGAAATAAAAATTTAATTTTTAAATAAAAATTCTACGAAATTGAATTTTCAGGTCGTTTCATAAATATACTTAATTTTTCTCATAATTTCTTTTTCATTTTTTAAATGGTACAAATCAATTCATAGTATCTCAAAATAGGATTCAATAAATTTTTCTTTTCTTTTTTTTAAGAATTAAAGTATTTTAAATTAAAAAATAATACAAATATTAGATAAAATGTAATATTGAAAAACTTCTGAAATTTAAAAATATATAGACATGACAAACAATCATATTGATTTAAACTAACAAAAAATATATGTATAACTTAATTTTTTTTTTTTTTAATTGATAATGACAATCTTGAAATAATTTTAATGAACATAGTTACATTTTAGTTTTTCTAAATAATAGTTACATCTTCGTTAATTAGAAATATCCAATTAATTACAAATCTAATAGTAAAAAGTATTTAAAAAAATATCTCATTATGAAATGCATATTCAAATAATTAATAAAAATTATTTATTTAAATAATTTAAACCATATTCTATAGCTCTTAAAATTTATTATGGTGTTTTAAATCAAGTAAAAGATAATTCTAAAAAAGCAAATAGTTCTTTTTAGGAGAAAAAGTAGCTAGTTAAAAGAAAATAAAGTGAAGGATATATAAATTAAATTGCTAATAGTATGATAATATAATTTAATAATTATAATATTACTATTATATTTAATAGTTAGCTTATTTGTAATATTGAAAAAAAAATAATTAAATATTTTTTCAGATATGAGAACCATTTGAATTTACATCCTTGAAAGTTGAAAATGCTTATTTAACTTCTAAAACTATTTCTATATATGATAATAAGAAAGTTAGATAAAAAGTAATAATATTACTAATTTATTGTTAACTTAATATATGAGTCGTAAGTGTCCTTATGTTAATTAAATTCAATGGCTCATATAATATTATTTAAATCTAATGGTAAAAGAAAGTCTTTATAGGTATAAAAATTTCTTATTCTCTACAGTAGCTGAGCTGTGAGGGCTCTTAGCCACATGGATAGTTTAATGTGCTCATCAGTGCCTGATCCTGAGATGTGGATCATCCAAGGCATACTATCATGGCGTACTTCTCTTATTCAAACTAGGATTTGAAACCAAACTTCTCCTTAAGATGATAGATGAGGTAATTCAAGTGCACTAACACTGAGATAAAAGCTAAGTGAGTGAATGGAATTAGATAGCCCAATAGTCCTAGCTATAAATGATGGATACCGGGCGTTGTGCATATCGACCCATGCAATGCTGTAGCTAACGCATTAAATATCCCGCCTGGGGAGTACGTCTTACCCTTGATTTAAAACCATAAAATTAGTTAGTCAAGCTAAATTTATTTAATTTAAAATTGTTTAATTAATTGAGATTTTACGTTTGTGTAAAAGTCTATATAGTGTTAATTCTCAAAAAAAAAATCTATATAATGTTAATATAATTTTACAAATTTAGAAAAGAAAACAAATAAATAAAATAAGTCATTGTGACCTGCAATTGAAGATGTGTATTGCAACCTCACAATTCTAAAAACCTTAGAACTAGAATCGAATCGCAACCCCCAGTTACAGTTCCAATTCTGGACGGGGCTCCAATTTTGCACGATTTCCATTTTCCAATTCTGGACGGGGCTCCCCCAGTTACAGTTCCAATTCTGGACGGGGCTCCAATTTTGCACGATTTCCATTTTCCAATTCTGGACGGGGCTCCCCCAGTTACAGTTCCAATTCTGGACGGGGCTCCAATTTTGCACGATTTCCATTTTCCAATTCTGGACGGGGCTCCCCCAGTTACAGTTCCAATTCTGGACGGGGCTCCAATTTTGCACGATTTCCATTTTCCAATTCTGGACGGGGCTCCCCCAGTTACAGTTCCAATTCTGGACGGGGCTCCAATTTTGCACGATTTCCATTTTCCAATTCTGGACGGGGCTCCAGTCTGGTTTAACATAACTAAAATATAGAAACAAAATAGTATATTTAAAAATCAAAGAGTCATAGTTGATTTTAACATAATATAGAGATAAGATTATAATTTTTCCATAACATATTGAAAGTGCGAATAAAATAACAAGTTTCTACAGTTCATTATTAGTAGTACAACTATATAAAACAAAGTTATTTAGCTGTTCGAAATGTAGCAATTTAGCAATAGAAAAAGCTCTTATCAAAACAGCAAGAGTACTCCCCACCAGTATCAATAACTGGCTCTAATTGAAGAACCCAAATTGAATACATAAAGAGGAAATGAACGAGGAAAAAAATTTCCAAAAAAAAAAAAAAAAAGGGGAAATATGAATCGAGTGAACAAAAAATTCCAAAAAAAAAAGAGTGATAAAAGATAAAAAATGATAGAAAGTACCTTAGTGGAATACAGCAACTTTTAGTACTCATTTTAAATTAACATCTTGCAAATATTGCAACCAAAAAACACCACAGGCAAAAATTTCCGATGCCTGGCAACCTTAGGCATACGAGAAGCTAAACTATGTTCCTAGAATCTAAATCTGTATTAATTGAGGAAGGGGGTTTCAACTGCATTTAAGTAGAAAGATTTTCAGAAAAGCAAAAGAAAAAAAAAAAAAATGGAAAAAAATTTCAAAAAAAAAAAAAAAAAGAAAAAGAAAAAAAATGATAAGTACCTAGGAAAGCAACTTTTAGTACAGTTTTATTAACATCTATCAAATATGCAACCAAAAACACACAGGCAAAATTTCCGATGCCTGCAACCTTAGCATACAGAGAGTAAACTATGTTCCTAGATCTAATCTGTATTAATGAGGAAGGGGGTTTCCAACTGATTTAAGTAGAAAGATTTTCAGAAAAGAAAAGAAAAAAAAAAAAAAAAACACTTGGTCCCCAAAAATATAGGTTTGAACTACAGAGGCCGTTTTCTGTATTGATATTGGCTGTCTCTTACCCAGTTGAACCACCTGCAGTAAATGTGTGAGCTTAGCAGTTTTCTGGTCTTTTTATTTCATGTATTCCAACACGCTCTGGGTGATGTCCTCAAGGAAAGAAACAAAGCCCATTACACTTGTGAAGCCTTGACCATCAACATCTTGTTCCTCTATGAGGTAATTCTCAAAAACGGAGGCATCATCCTGCCCTCCCCGGATAAAAATCAATTTAGGAGTGATACACCTATCTTGCTTCAATTTGTTAATTGTACTTCTCAATAAACCTAGGAAGAAAACATGTCTTAGAAAGCACGTTTCTTCTGCATGCAAACAGTGTAACAAATGATAAAAACAACTTACAATCATGAGGTGGAGGGAAAGGAAGTGAGGGATCTGCTGTAGAAGAATAGAATACAATTAGAGTTGTAAATGCATCAAGGAAAAATATTGGACTGCCACTGGTAATCAGAGCAGCTCGGCTCAAAGAGTGGCGAGGATATGCTTGTTTATCAGGCGTAGAATATGACATTAATACTGGATATATGGCATGATGAAGGGAACTTGGTTCGAGAGCACTGCACCAAAATGAAAGGTTTCCATGGTTAGCTTCTCATAAAAAGAAAAGTACAACTAAGCACATGAAGGTAGTAGTTGCCTAAGTTCGTTACATATTTAAAAGTAACAATTAACAAAAGCCAGAGCAATAAAACTAATAACACCATATGGTTAATCTTGATAAACACATAATTGAATCACAATGGTTAGCAGTAAGATATTAAGATGATGATTTAAGGAACAAATATTTCATCAAACTGCCAACACATGCCAGAATGGGGGCACAAGTTGACATCACATAGGCCCATCAACTGTGCCAGTATGATAACACACCAAAGTGAAATATTGTATTGTATGCCTTCTTATTTTTGGACTTTGTGAGATGGGTAGGTGCATGAGAAGCTGGAATGTGTTTTTGTATAGACAGCCAACTGAGGCTAAGAGGTTATCCAGTAAAATATTTAAGATGATAAACACATAATTGAATCACAATGGTTAGCAGTAAGATATTAAGATGATGATTTAAGGAACAAATATTTCATCAAACTGCCAACACATGCCAGAATGGGGGCACAAGTTGACATCACATAGGCCCATCAACTGTGCCAGTATGATAACACACCAAAGTGAAATATTGTATTCTATGCCTTTTTATTTTTGGACTGTGTGAGATGGGTAGGTGCATGAGAAGCTGGAATGTGTTTTTGTATTGACAGCCAACTGAGGCTAAGAGGTTATCCAATAAAATATTTATTCTAGTCTCTCAACAAAAACTGTTGCTCAGTTTTCATTTTCAGTTCCAACATTGCAAATCAAAACACTGATTGTTCCAACAACAAATGTAAACATTAGATATACCTGAAAAGGCATTGTAGGTAGATTCGGTAGTCAGGATGAACACCTTCTTCATGGAAGCAGAGTAGAGGATTTCGAAGCAAAGCAAAAACTAGGCGAGGTAAGGGCTGTAGTTGTGGACATTGTGAGAATGCAACATCGATCTGACCATTCAGTGAAGTTCCATTCTTAAACTGAACAAGTTTATATGCGTCATTATACTGAGCAGCAAGTATTACGAGCCAATCATGAAGCAACATCCTGCCCTCCCTAACCCCTTGCTCCAGAGAGGCTAATATAACCTATAAAGTAAATGAATGCATAAACAATGTAATGAAATCTGATATGAGAATAATCAGGAAGAACTAATCCATGTTCACATTTGCCTTAATTAACGTTATAGTTAATAAACAAACAATTCTTTTAACAAGCAAGTCACTCTTAAGTAAAAACTTCATAAAAATCTTATTGTGCAGCGAATCATTTTCTGCCTACGAATCTAAAGTTCTCTTAGTGTGGTACTTGGTTGTAGGAATTATAATTAACTAGTGTTTTGGAGTGTTCCACACATCTACGTGCCTCTCATTTTAGAAATGATGAGAAACTTGGAAAGAATGGGAAAGTGTGTCCTCAGAAACTCAGAAAAATAATACCTTTGTACATTATTTAATTTTAAATTTAAATTGATCATAATTTTCCTTTTTTTATTAGCAGCCAGGTAGGCCACACAAAACATGCACTGGATCACTAATAGGGTCACAAATGTATTATTCAATGGAGGAGATAATACCTTGTGAACAAGTATTGATAGAACTGCTTCAGGATCGACACTGTCATAGATTTCATGAATATTTCGGGCAACTCCAAATTGCAAAGTTCGGATCCTCAATCGTCTTTGAAGGGAATGCTTGCCTCTTCATAAGCATACAGAAATTAAAATTTAGACCATAAACAATGAAAGGCAGTCAATTAGTAATGAAAAATTCTCTAGTGGATAGCATGTGTACAAGGCTCAGGAAAGTAACCGCACAGCCAACTGATACGCCTATCTGATAAATCATATATCTAAATCACACAACACTCTTGATCATTTATATCAAGTGAAATGACCAGTTAATGTATTAATTAAGTCGTACCCACTTGCGGAAACCAATCCTGGACTTGAAAGCTCTTCCGGGGGCACTACGACTGTGTACTGAAATGCAATTTGTACTACAGGTTGTTCTGATGCATATCTGCAAGCAATAAATACAACCTTTGATGTTACAGTTTGTAAATTATGTTCAAAAGAAGCTCCAACAACTTTTAACATATAAAAGAAATCAATTGTCAATTACCCCCTGACAGAAGGAAAGGTGACAAGGAGAGGGAAAATAGGAAAAATCATGTAGGAAAAGAAAAGGCTTCAGACCCATATCAAACTCTTCAAAAGATTGTCAGAATAAAAGGTTGAGAAAATGACACATTTTTGTTATACAATCAAATTAACTCCAAAAAATGTATTGCAAATTACAGCACTAAACAAATATATCAACCATTTGTGTTCATATTTACCAAACACAAATTAAGCATGCATAATTGTATTTGCAGAGAATTAAATCATCATATATAATTGAGGATCTTAGGCTCTGGTTATTTTCAAAAAAGTAACTTTTGAGATTTTTTCAAAGGAAAATGTTTCCCTTGGAAAATATTCTCTAAATAGCTCATTTTCTATTGGTTGGCAGTAACATTGAAAAGTAGTCTAAAAAAATTAAAAATTTTAATTTATAAGACTGTAAAATATCTTGAATTATTAAAACTTTTATTTTTAACATTTATTGTCAAATGTGAAGAAAAAAAAATAAAAATAATAAATTGTGGTAATTGCTGATAATTGGTGTTAGTGACCAGTGGTAGCTGGTGATAGGTGTTTATTAACGGTGATCGCTAGTTGTAACCACCAGTAATCAGTGGATTAAAAATTTATATTCAAGACTTTTCTTTTAGTTATAATAAGATTGTTAATGTTTGGAAAATATTTTTCTTACTTAAAAAAGAGGTTATTTTCTTTTTCAAATGGCTTATTTTCGCTTTGACTAATTTTCCAGAGCACCCCAAATATTAAAAACCCAAAAGATATTTTTTAGGAAAATATGTTCCGGAATCAAACAGAACCTTATGCTACAAAAAAAAAGGGGGATGTATTATATCTTTTCACAGTCAAAAATTCAGACTCTTTGCTCTTTCCTAACTGATAATTGATTGTAAAGCTTTACTGTGATAGATAAATCCAAAAAGACTAATCAGAGAATACATTGCTACGCTATACCTTTGAACCATGATCCTATCCATAGAAAAAGATCAAATATAAATATTGCAATTGTGAAAGGTAAGAATAAATAAAAGGTTAAATTTGGAATAGAAATGCCAACTAACAACTCAACTATTTATTTTAAAGTCAAATGTATTGGCTGTTTCTGACAAGTGTGGCTTAAGACTAAAAAGCAATTACTTTCTTTCTTTCTCTACTTTTTTTTCCTTTTATTTTTTTGACCAACAAAAAGGAGAAGAGGACAGAAGAAAGTACTCCTAAATTGCAGAATCAATAGATATCAGAAGCAACAGAAATATATACATAGTCCATTAAATTCTTGCAATAAAATTTTCAAATAAAAATACCAAAAATAAAGTAACATCAATAAAAGTAATTCGCATTGCTCACCCACTTCACCCTAACACAAGTAATGAAAAAAAAAAAAAAAAAAAAAAAAAAAAAAAAAAAAAAAAATAGTCCATAAAATTCTGCATAAAATTTTCAAATAAAAATACCAAAAATAAAGATAACATCAATTAAAAGTAATTCGCATTGCTCACCACTCACCCTAAAACACAAGTAATGAAAAAAAAAAAAAAAAAAAAAAAATAAAAAAAAAAAAAAAAAAGAAAGAAAAAAAAAAACTTCCATGGAGTGTCAAGTTAAAACGTGAGAATTACCCCTTCATACTGCGATTTCCAAAAACCAGTCATACTCAAAACAAAAGACACCACGCTACTGTAAACACGACAATTAGCAAATTGATAACTGAAAGTCAATTGTTATAAGAATACTTAGAGTTCAAATTTTTTAATTAAAAAAAAAAAAAAAAAAAAAAAAAAAAAAAGAAAGAAAAAAAAAAACTCCATTAGTGTCAGTTAAAACGTGGATTACCCCTCGTACTGCGTTTCCAAAACGTCATACTCAAACAAAAGACACACGCTTACTGAAACACGAAAATTAGCAAATTGAACGAATCAATTGTTATAGAATACTTAGAGTCAAAATTTTAATTAAATACCTCCAAATCTTAAACTTTTAAGTCTTCTAACTATAGTAGTTAGTCACTTAGCATATTTAATAGGTTTTAAAATGTACTAAATAGTTAAACATTTTTTATCCAATTTAATAAAATAAGCTTTCAATTATATTATTTATCATGCATATAATTCAAAGCGAATTTAATAAAGTTTTTTATTGTACTGCGTACCCACAAAGCGTACCTCATATAAATTACAAAGTGTCGTAACCCATACCCATAACTGTAGCGCATACTGCGGCGTACCCCGTTTTAAGTAACATGGAGTTCATCTCTTCAAATATTAAATTTTACCACATATCAAATGACATTTAGCTATATAAGGATTATACCTGGCAAAGCCATCTGTATTCGCAAAATCAAAATCATAAGCATATGTAGCATAAGAATCACAGCAAATAATATGCTGAACATTTTCGTACTGTGGGTCTGGGAAGAAATGACCATACTGCAACAAATAGTTTAAGAATATCAGAAATTTGGTACAACTTATTGAAATATTGAAGAAGATGACATGCACTTACAGAATGACCAGGCTTAAATTCCGAAGAGGTCCTCAATCGAAGTATACAACCAAAAGCATATGGTCGACTTAACATCCGATAGCTGCAATTGGTTCATTATAGAGAATTCATTTAATGTTAAACAATTGTATGCTTTACAGAAAGAAAAAATGCCTTAGCAAAAATGCATTAGCAATGCTTTCCCAACAATTTAAATTTTGATGCCATTTTCATTGACATGATACAATATAAAAGCCAATTGGAGCAACAATTGCAAATACATTAGATACTCACATGTCTTGAGGAAGTGTTGAGTCATCAGTATTTGAATGCAAGAACAATGAGCCTCCACTTTCAATACTGAGAAACTTAAGAGATGCTAAATCTGTATATTCATTTGTAACAGCAAATATGTCTACACAAACACCTGCTTGAACGGCGACAGCAGCCTGTAAAATAAATGTCAATGCACACATTTCCCAAAGCTTAACATTCAATATTAGTAAACAGAAGTTAGAAACCAAAATACCAGATCTTTATAGAAAGGTGTCTGCTCAGGAAGTAAAGCCCTGTCTGCATCCTCACCTTTACTCGCATATTGCTCACCATACCTCCTTGTGTCTAGTTGCCCAGCTCCATAATCAGGAGGACCAGACATGAAAGCAAAGACTCTAGCTGCAATTATACTTAATCAGCTGATGACATTTGCATATGTTCATATATATCAAAAGGGGAAAAAAAGCAATGGAAAAATAATTAACTAGCTGTTATTCATTTTCATTCTGCACATAAAAAAGCAATATGAGTTTCAAACTGAGTGACAGACCTAAAGCAAATGTGTTTCCATACTCTGATCCAAGGTACTTGAATAAGGCTTCCATTGCTACACCAAAACCTCGCCCGCCCATCAGAACACCATCTAGTCCTTGACCTGCACCAGTGGTTCTCTCCCATGCAGTTGTTGGCCTAAGCGTGTCAAGTGCAGCTGTAATACGGTCCTTACAAGTTTCCACCTGTAATAGGAACACTGAATACTCGTGACAAAATATTTAATTATAAAGCATGTAACTGACAACACAAATAAAAGATCCCTATCCAACTAAAATATGCATTGCAATGGACATCAAATTTTTATGTTTGCTCTTTAGCCTCACAAAAAAGAAATCTCATAAAAGATAATAAACCCCTAAAAAATCAATGGACTAACATACAGGGGCTAAGAACTGTAATAAAGGCATGACATCTTCAAGCTCGATCAGTAGGGTGCCCTCAGTATCAGGAGGAATAAACACATTCTTTACAACTGGAATAGGCCCTTGGACATCATACAACCCTATCTTGTGGCTGAAAGTTGCAAGTCCAAACAAAGAACCGGGAGCAAGAGCTACAATTAAAGGGAAACAAAGGTTGATGTTATAAATCCTTCCAGAAAGGAGTAATGGATCACTTTGATATAGAAATATGAAAATAAAAAGATTTCAACCTTCCAATGCTGCTTGCAGCGCACTTTTAGTAAGCTCCAAAAATTCCTCCGAAGCTGTAAATAAATCATACAAGCTTATTAAGCAGGTTCCAGATGCTTACAGCAAAAACATGAAAACATAAAAACCACACTAACTAACTGAAACTATTGTTAAATAAGAAAGAGCATGTATTACTTCTAGATATGAAATACTACTCATACATGCTCAAATGACAACATTAAATATTATCCTCTATTCTTAAACCTAGTAAAGTTCTACACTTTACAATTCAAAGCCATAATTTTTAAGCCTATCCCTCCTGAATAGTGCAAGATTGCTATAGCAATTTAAAATTTTCTTCTGATTTCCAGCATTTAGCAAAGATCAGAACACAAAAAAAAAGGGCAAGAAGAACCTAATGTAGTGGACCAGCGCATGTATAGCCCTTCCAGATGCCAAGATTATGTTAAATTGAGAATGTTGCATAATTCTTTTAACAGGCATTTAAGTTGTTTAAAAAACTTGTCAGTCTGCTTTTGATTCTAAATAATTACAATCACCATGGATCATTCTTCTGATTTATTCAAGTAAATAAATGAAAAAAATTGCATTAGCAAGCTATAATTACACCGAACTATAAGTTAAACCACTACAAAGCCAATCAGCAAAATCTTACACGATAAATCAATAGCAGCAACATAGACTGGACGAGCTTCCATCATTTCTTCCTCTGAACCCTCCACTACAGCACAATAGCGTTACAAGAAGTTAAAGAGAATTAATCAGCATGGTATTTTTGGATGCATAAAATTGAAGACAAGCAAGAAATCAAAATTCACAATCCACAAATACAACAATACATCTGGAAGACAGAAGATAACTTCCCTTATTTTATAGGCAATTAAAACATAGTGATGAACAAAAGACATTAAACTCACTTACTAGGCAACTCGAGATCGACAAACGACGACATCATTTCTGCACAAGACTGAGGGTGCGAGTAACGCGCAATGGCACGAGAGGTAAGGCCATTGAGGGTTCCACAGAGAGAGCAGGACCAGGCCCACTGTTCGAGCTCGCAAAAGGTGTTGAAGTAGGCGTAGCAATTCTCGCATCGAGGTAATAAATGACCGTCGGATCCATAAGTAGGCGACTGGCTGTTCTCGTCCTTGGAAGCGAATGGCGTAACGGTGACTCCCCATGGGAGACCTGATGACTCCTGCGCGTCTTGGTCCATCGGGAACCGGGACACGGTTGCTCGAACCGCCATAGTTCTTCGTTTCTTCTTCTTGTTTTTTTTCCCCCTTTCCCCTTCGCTTTTTCTTTTGGTTTCTCGGGAAACAAACGGAGACGCAATGAGGAGGGAGCCGTCGAAGAATTCTCCGCAGAGTGGCCTAGAGAGAGCTCGAGGATCTACGTGGGAAGGACCAGTGGGGTTATGCCACGTCGGAAAAAGTCCGCGAGCGTGGCATAGATGTTCTTTGCTGGCTTGCGTTCCTTTGTTACCAAACACATAAATCGAGTGCTTTTAAGCAAAAATGGTGTGTTGTTCTTGATTTTCATTTTGATCCGTTAAATATTTCAACTTATAAAATTATATTTATTAAATAATTTAATTGATATATTAAATACTTCAATTTATAAAATTAAATTGGTTAAATATTTATTGAATCGTTAAAAAATATGAAATTTATTATTTTAGAAGTTATAATAACCACATATCATATTAATATTTTACATATAAACCAAAAACGTCAAAAATTTATTAGTTCTAGTGTGACGAGGTGTGAGATTATTGCAAAGAGAGAAGTTGAGGGTGCCATAGGGTTGATTTTAAAATTCAAGGTGCCACAAAGTTTTTCTGTTAAACTTGAGGAGTTATGATGCGGAGCAACTTACACTTCAATATAAGGAAGATTTGGATCGCTGCAAACCCAAGAAGAAGGGGTACGGGCCGTGCCATATCCAGCATGCCCGTGCCAGCCTCTAGAAGTCCAGGACGCGTCAAAAATTTATATAGTTCTAGTGGACGAGGTGTGAGATTTATGCAAGAGAGAAGTTGAGGGTGCCATAGGGTTGATTTTAAAATTTCAAGGTGCCACAAAGTTTTTCTGTTAAACTTTGAGGAGTTATGCATGCGGAGGCAAACTTACACGTTTCAAGTTTATAATGAAGATTTTGAGGATCCTGTGTGCATAAACCCAGAAGAAGGGGTACGTGGGCCGTGCCATATCCAGCATTGCCCGTGGCCAAACCTTAGGACTGCTCAGAAGCTTCCAGGACGCGAGACACGCCCGAGCTTAAGAAGCACAGACGACCACCCATGTCCACAGCCAGAGACCTGCGTGCTAGCCGTCTAGAAGTCTAAGCACGTCCCCGTGCCACATGTTCTAGCCTCTAGAAGTCTAAGCACGCCCGTGCCATGTCAAGCACACTCATACCGACGAGTCTAGTTACATTTTGAATGTCGGCACACCGTGTCATGCCAAGCACGCACGTGCTAGCCTCTAGAAGTCCAAGCATGCCCATGTCATGTCAAGCACACTCGTGACCATTCTGCGTATAAATAGGTTATTTGTATTAAGAGCACATTCATTATTCTTTGATCATTATTCTTATTCAATAAACTTCCTTGAGAGTTTAATACTCTAATTCTTTCGTCAGATCAAACGTCATTGATCAAAACTATTGATAAAGTATAAACGTTATTCCCATTCACGTGACCATTCTGCGTCAGTTGATATCAGAGCCGAAAGGCGAAGCATCTCCATGGCCGATAATCATGAGACACAACTCACAGCCATAGAGGCGAAGTTCAAGGAGTTAATCAAACAGATTAGAGAGTTGACTCTCACCATTCAACAAGGCAATCCACAACCTGCAGCTGCAACAACAGTTCTGAATCAGCATCAACTAGATTATGCAAGACGCCAAAATAGTTTTGATGGAGGCCGAGATTAGAGGCAATGGTGGCAATTTTCATGAAGGATACAAGATAAAGGTAGACCTTCAACCCTGCTCAGGATCACTAGATATAGAAAGCACTCTTGACTGGCTAGCGGAGGTCGAACGATTCTTTGAGGTCATGAATGTTAAGGATGAACAAAAGGTTTCCATTATGGCGTATAAACTGAAAGGAGGTGCAGCAGCATGATGACATTCTGTTCCAAACAAACGCCATCATCGAAAGATTGAACCTGTGCGAGATTGGATCTTAATGAAACAGATGATTGAGCAGCGTTTTCTCCCTAGTGATCACTCCCAAATCCTGTATAATAGGTACCATGACTATTTCTAGGGAAATCAAAAGGTAGATAAGTATATAGAAGAATTCTTGAGATTATAGGCTCGATGTGACAATTGTGAGACTGAATCGCAGCAAGTGGCTCATTATCAGAGGGGAATGAATCATGACATAATGTGTATGATGGGTGTAGCTATGTGACCTAATTAGTTGCTAAGACTGAATAGCGGCAGCAGTGGCTCATTTATCAGAGCGGGAATGAAATCATGGAACATAATGTGTTATGATGGGCATAGTGTAGACTGCTTTTCTATCCATATCTGGCAGATGCTCAATTAAGATGGCAAAGTACGAAAGATAGAATTAATTTGGCAACTATCTTGATATATCCAATCTAATCAATAGACCAACATTTTTTCTGCAACCTTTATTCATCCGAAAATCAATAGTTCAATCCAAAATATATACCTGGTATGCGCATGGAAATTTCATACGCCGCATGTCAACTGATGACTACTACGAAGCGACATGGCTTACCGCATAGAAGAATCCCAGAGGAGAGATTTCACTTTGGCAGATGCAATTGAGATGGCCAAAAGTACGAAAGATAGAATTAATTGGCAACTTCGATAACCATCTAATCATAACCAGAATTTCTGGCAACCTTATTCATCCGAAAATCAATAGTTCAATCAAAATTCTGGTAGGCAGAATTCAAGGGCAGCAAGTGCTGCTACTAAGCAGAACTTACCGCAGATCCCAAGAGAGGAAAATAAAGACTCCTAAGGAAAGGCTCCCATGGCAGACAAAAACAATAAGTCGAATCCTTATCAAAAGCCAATTGGAGATTATTGTTATCGTTGTAGAAAACAGGGGCATACATCTAATATATGTCTAGAACGTAGGAGGGCTAATGATGGGCATTGACAGGTGAATGTAGTAGATGAGGTGACTGAGGTTGAAGAGGTAGAAGACGAAGATGATGGATCCATGGCTGGTTATGAAGATGGAAAAGTTACATATGTTGTTCAGAAAATTTTGTGTTCTCCAAAACAAGAAAGCGAAACTCAACAAAGAAAAATTTTCCAAGCTAAATGTTGGGTTCATGAAGCGGTGTGCCGACTCATTATCGACAGTTGCAATTATGAAAGTTTGATAGCCAAGCAGCTGGTTGAAAAGCTAAAGTTACCCATAGAATCACATCCTTCGTCGTACAAGGTAGGGTGGATTAAAGAGGGTCCAATAATTGAAGTAAACTGGATTTGCAAGGTTCCTATATCAATGGGAAAGTCGTACTCAGACTCTGTTAGTTGTGATGTGTTGGATATGGATGCTTGTGGAGTATTGTTAGGACATCCATGGCAGTTTGATGTAGATGCATTGCATAAGAGAAGAGAGAATTCATACCTGTTCACTTGGAAAAACAAGAAAATCATTGTCTTACCTTCTGGATCTTCTGCCAAAGATTTTAAAATGGAGGGTAAATCCATAGTAGCTGTTTATTCCAATGTGCATGAATTATCTGGTGCAATTGAGAAGTCCGGAGGTGCGTTGGCATTACTGATCAAACCAGAGACCAGCTCTAATGAAGAGGCACTAGTACTCCCACCAGTTAAGGAGTTGTTAGATCAGTTTCATGCCATAGTTGAAGAACCATCTACACTTTCACCTTTGCGGGACATTCAATATCAGATTGATTTTATCCCTGGATTGAAGATACCAAACCTGCCCCATTATAAGATGAATCCAAAAGAGAGCCAGATCCTTCAAGAACAGGTAGAATAATTATTGAAGAAGGGACATATCTGGGAGAGCATTAGTCCTTGTGGGGTTCCTGCTTTATTAGTACCAAAGAAGGATAGGACTTGGAGAATGTGCGTGGATAGTAGAGCTGTCAATAAGATCACGGTGCAATATCGATTTCCTATTCCTCTTCTGGAGGACATATTGGACCAATTGTCAGGGTCTATAATATTTTCCAAAATAGATCTCCACAGCGAGGACATATTGGACCAATTGTCAGGGTCTATAATATTTTCCAAAATAGATCTCCACAGCGGGTATCATCAAATCAGGATCAAGGAGGGAGATGAATGGAAAACCGCATTTAAGATTGAGGAGGGGTTATACGAGTGGTTAGTTATGCTGTTTGGGTTGACTTATGCACTAAGCACATTCATGCAACTTATGACTCAGGTTTTGCGCCCTTTCTTATGCAAATTTGTGGTTGTTTATTTTGATGACATTTTAATTTTCAATCGCAGTGAGGAAGAACACCTTCAGCACCTTCAACAGGTGTTGGATGCTTTACAGAAAAATGAGTTATAGATCAACCTTAAGAAGTGCAGTTTTATGACCGAGCGGATTCTATTTCTTGGCTGTATTGTTAGCTCGGAAGGAATTTATGTTGATGACAGAAAGATTGAGGCCATTCGAAATTGGCCTATTCCCAAGAACATCACTGAAGTTAGCAGCTTTCATGGTCTCGCTACTTTCTATAGGCAGTTCATCAGGAACTTTAGCAGCATCATCGCTACCATCATCGATTGTTTGAAGAAGGTTAGAGTTCATCAATTTTTGTGGACAGAAGCTACAAATAAAAGCTTTAAAGAGATCAAATATAAGCTTACTTCCGCCCCTATTCTTACTTTACCTGACTTTGATAAATTGTTTGAGGTAGATTGTGATGCTTGTGGGATTGGAATTGGTGGTGTTTTCTCTCAATCTGGAAAGCCTATTGCATTCTTTAGTGAGAAATTGAATGAAGTTAGACAGAGGTGGTCTTAGACAGAGGTGGTCACCTATGAGCAAGAGTTAGGATGGCCATGTTTTTTGTAGCTTTCAAGACTTGGGAACATTATTTATTAGGTGTGTTGAGTTCATTATTTAACAGCTGATCAGGTCAGTTTTAAACTCATTTCAAAACTCAAAAGAAAGTGACAAGATGCATGCGCGTTGGCAAAAAATCTTTGGGTGCTATTCCATGAATGTCATTAAGCACCAAAATCTGCTTGTGGGATTGGAATTGGTGGTGTTTTCTCTCAATCTGGAAAGCCTATTGCATTCTTTAGTGAGAAATTGAATGAAGTTAGACAGAGGTGGTCTACCTATGAGCAAGAGTTATATGCAGTTTTTTGAGCTTTCAAGACTTGGGAACATTATTTATTAGGGTGTGAGTTCATTATTTACACTGATCATCAGGTTTAACTCATTTTCAAACTCAAAAG